ATGATGATAAAATAATCACATTTTTCATTAGGTTTGAAAACTAGGAATAATTTCAAAAAATAAATTCTTTAATTACAATTTTAATTGCAATACTATTGATGTAATAGTTGTTACATTTAATGTCAAATTTTTAATTGTTATATTAATTATAATTGAATAGCAATAATGCCATTCGACGCGACTGGGTTTGCTAAGGATTTCATTGCCGGCGGTGTGTCTGCGGCCGTCTCGAAGACAGCGGTGGCGCCCATCGAGAGAGTGAAACTCCTTCTTCAGGTGCAACACGCGTCCAAACAGATCGAAGAAAGCAAGAGATATAAAGGTATGGAAATGATTGATACTTTGATTTGAATGAATGGTAACTAATGTATGATTGTATGGATTGATAGGTATTATCGATGCGTTTGTGCGGATCCCCAAAGAACAGGGAGCCATCGCCTACTGGAGGGGAAATCTGGCGAATGTTATCCGATATTTCCCGACTCAAGCGCTGAACTTTGCCTTCAAAGACAAGTATAAACAAGTGTTTTTGGGCGGAGTCGACAAAAAGACACAGTTTTGGCGATACTTTTTGGGAAACTTGGCCTCCGGTGGAGCCGCCGGTGCGACGTCTCTATGCTTTGTGTATCCGTTAGACTTCGCCCGAACCCGATTGGGCGCTGATGTCGGCAGAAGTGGTGCTGAGCGACAGTTCAAGGGTTTGGGCGACTGTTTGGTGAAAGTATTCAAATCCGATGGAATCATTGGACTTTACCGGGGATTCAATGTCTCGGTTCAGGGTATGTATTGTTGACGACAATAACTGATTGATTGATGTCTAACTGATGCCAATGTCTACCACAGGTATAATCATCTACAGAGCGGCGTATTTCGGATTCTTCGATACGGCTAAGGGTATGCTTCCGGACCCGAAGAACACACCACTAGTGATCTCATGGATGATCGCGCAGTGCGTGACGACAGTGTCGGGCATAATCTCGTACCCGTTTGACACTGTGAGGCGGCGAATGATGATGCAGTCGGGCGTCGCTAAGAATGAGCGCATGTATAAGAATACGATCCACTGTTGGGGCAAAATCGCCAAAACCGAGGGCTCGAAGGCCTTCTTTAAGGGCGCCCTCTCTAACGTATTCCGAGGCACTGGCGGTGCGTTTGTCCTCGTTTTGTACGATGAGATCAAAGGACTTTTAGGATAAATATCTAGATTTATTGCAAATTNGGCAAAATCGCCAAAACCGAGGGCTCGAAGGCCTTCTTTAAGGGCGCCCTCTCTAACGTATTCCGAGGCACTGGCGGTGCGTTTGTCCTCGTTTTGTACGATGAGATCAAAGGACTTTTAGGATAAATATCTAGATTTATTGCAAATTAGTTTTAATTCATCAATCAATTGATTGTTTTAATTCAAATGGGGTTTCATTTATTAAGCCATCAATAGATAAATTAATTGAAATGCAAACGAAAGTTAATATAAGAAAAATACAATCCAAACAATAAAAACCGAAAAAATTTTGTCAATTTATTTATTTTAAACCGTTAACTGATTTCGTAGAAAATTGTAATAAAAATTATTTTAATCAAAGTATTTGTGTTTTATTTAAAAAAAATTAATGATTAATAATTGGATTTATAAGTATTTGTCATTAAATGTCTTAATTTCAAACTTGGGTTCAATGGCTCTCTTCCTCAATAGTCTTCAAGCGATTCGATTCCCTCTCTATCTGAAGAGTCAATTCGCGAATTTCCTTTTCGGTCGCATCGATTAAATCTTGGACTAAGTCTTCGCCGCCGTCGACACCGCGTGGACTAAAACCTAATGATTTGCCGCTTTCGTGATCACCGGCAAGAATTGGCTGTTCGGGTCCAGTCATGTTAATCGCTTTCCATGAATTGAATTCGCTTTCATCCATTGGTCGTGTGATATCTTCTCCTATTATCTGATCCGCCGATTTAATGAGTCTTTCTATCTCTTTCTCCCTTTCGGACACTGTTTTAGGTTTGGTTCGAGTCTTTAGATTGTCGTCAAATGTCTCGTCAGTATTCAATGGCTTGTGTTTGTGTTCGGATCCGTAGAAACCAATGCCACCAAAACCCGCTCTCTTCTTGGCCTCAATTGGAGCAGTGATTCCCTGAAGATTTTTGCCCAAACCCTTCCCGCGTTCGTAACCCATCTTTCCTAACAGTTTGGATCCGATTCCTCGAGTGTGAGACTCCCAGCGATCGAAGTCTTCGTCTCCGAAAGCATTGGTTCGCCGAATGCCAGCGAATTCTTGGTTCCCTTTATTCTTCGACTTTCTCTTACTTTTCGATTTATTGGTCCGAAATGTCATCACCTCTTCGTTGTCATCCAATTCTTCACTTGGATTTGTGTCCAAATCTTCTTTAAGATCACCGCTAATGAAATTAATGCCCTTTTGTTTCACTGGTTTGGTGTCATTGGTGTCCATTTGGTCGACGCAATCACTCTCTGCGAAACTGCCTGCAAATGATGGCAAAAAAATAAGACATTAGTTGTCCATCACTTGATAACACTTCCCAATACTGACCATCGATTTGCAAATTCTTGAGTTTGCTCTTCGATTGAGTACTTCTCGACGGATTGAACTCATTCTTGACGTCCCGATCGTTAATCTCAAAGCGGATCCGTCCATTGGATTCCTCTTCGGAGGCCATCTTCACGTCAGTTGCGATACAAACTCTTTGTGAGAGAAATTGTAAACAAAAACAAATGTCAAAATTAAAAACAAAACTAATTTAAAACAAATTTAGTGTTATTTAGTGTTTGAAAGCGTGAGAAGTTTCAACAACTTTAAAGCCAACACTTTATGACAGTTTATCCCAAAGCAGACCATCATTTCAGCCACAAATCTGTCCACTTTTTAGTTGTTATAATTGATATTAAAATCATGAATAAAACTAATTAATTGTGAATACAATTTGTCACTGAATTTACTTAAAAAATAAATTATAAAAATGTAAATTCAATTGCAGTTAAATTATATGCAAAATATATCGCATAAAAAACTTTTCAAAACTTTTAAGTTAAAATCCGCACAATTTGTGATGAAATGACAAACCAATGATTTATAGTATAAAAAGGGTCCAAACATTAGCACTGATAATGCCATACATTTGACACCATTTATAAATACAGATAAAAGCCATAGAAAATACATTGAGTACAGACAGCGCTATCTATGGGTCGATTGTGAGCGACAGTCAATGCCTGCAATGTTTATATCCTTTTCCTGTAAAGTGTCTGATGTTTGACTTGTTTTCCCTGAAGACTCGCCACTAAACACATCTGAAAACAATGGTAAGTGTGATGATAACGACTGGTCATTAGCCCATACGAGAGCCCTATTAACTGACATGTCTTGGGCTGTGATCTTAGACCCAAAAGCGCCGAAACAACGGACGGGCGAAACACGGGAGGGGACACGTGAAGGCCGTCCGATGCACGAACTGCGCCCGATGTGTGCCCAAAGACAAGGCCATCAAGAAGTTTGTGGTCAGGAATATCGTGGAGGCGGCGGCCGTGCGGGACATCACCGAGGCTTCGGTCTACGAGTGTAAGCACACGTGTTTTGCGGCACATTATTAGCGTTTGTTTTAACTGTTTTTTGTTTTGTTTGTTTGCCTCTCGTTTTGGTGGCCTCTCTTCGCACACCCGTCGGCGGCCAACAGCCTATCCATTGCCGAAACTGTACGCGAAGTTACACTACTGTGTCTCGTGTGCTATCCATTCGAAGATTGTCCGCAATCGGAGCAAAGAGGACCGTAAGATCCGGACCCCTCCGCCCCGATTCCAACGGCCCGGACAACAGGCCGATCGCGGGGACCGACAGAATCAGGCCAACCGAACGCAACAGAAGTGAGTGGAGACACACCGTTCGGATGGATGTTAATTAATGGATGTGTTTTTCGAACTTAAATTAATAATTCATTAATTTTTTGTCTAAAGTAATAAAAATTAATTGAAAACTGATTTGTGCTGTGATTTACAGTTAAACTATTGTTTAAAGTGTTCAACAAATTCTATGTAAAGTTGTGTCTAAATAGTGGTGCAGTTTATGTGCCGTTAAGTTATTAGAGTTTATAATTGTTTCAAAACAATTGAAAACACTATTTATTGGCAACTCTTGTAATAATAGCGTTAATTCGGTTCTTCGTCCGAATCCTCGTCGTCGGCATCGTATGGATCGTCAATCCATTGATGGCGACGGCTATCAGTCCTCGCGTACCGACGATTTGCCCATTGGTTCGGCCGTATAGGCCCTCCTCTACTGAACAACACTCGAGACCCGTTTACAGGAGATCTGCTGAGAGGTGTTCTCCTCTGTTCAGACATTTCTTGTCGTATATCTCTTCGACCGAACCATTGATTGCCATTTGTTTGCCTCCAGTTTTCGGCGTTCGATCGGAAGCCGTTCCCAAACTGTCGGTTCCCGTGAACTGGTATTTCACCGAAGGATTGAGTGACAGGTCTTCGATATAATGGCATAAACTGTTGGTTTGATTGTTGTCTCATTCGTTCGTTCATTTGTCTCATACTTTGCATTGTTTGCCACGAAGTGAAACCATCCAATCGGTCAGCATTACGACCGAAACCTTCGAAACGGAAACCGGTTGTGATTCCCGGTTGTGACCAATGGATTGTTGACGATTGAAATGATTGAACGGATCCGTTGTGGCCATCGCTGGTCGAGACTCTGATATTCTGTACAGAATTCGGGCCAACAATTCTGTAATGTCTTACGTTTGGATTCGACGCGTCTTCAGACCATTGAGTGGTCGTCGAGTCGGCAGAAGTGGTGCTCGAGTTGTCATCAGCGGTGCGACGATTGATCGGCACTCCAATCACAGCCCAGTGGCCGGCGTTTCGCCGCAACGTTCCGTTTCGTTGCATTTGTGGCCAAAACAAAGCCAATTGAAACGGATTGACAATCGGTTCCTGTCTTGTGATCACTGGAATTGATTCAAACGTATTGTTTGGCCCGAAGTTGTGGCGAATCTGACTGATTGTCTGTCGACATGTGGGACAGTAGTTGTGGTCTTGAGTCCATCGCCGAAGACATTGCAAACAGAACTCATGAGTACAACAATCGGTTCCGCATCTGTTGGACACCTTCTCGAGACATACGGAACACCTCTCCTCCTCTTTGGCCGACTTCTTGGACTTTTTGTCGCTATCTTTCGGTGCTTTGCTTTTGTCGTCCATTTCTTCACCGAAAATCATTTGATTTGAAAAAACTTTTTATTTGCCAAACAATTGACTGAAAAAATGTATAAAATTATTGAAAATTGCATTCAAATGACTAATTGTTGGCAAAAGTGACGTAAAAATAGTACAAATTTTAAACATTTATAAATTAAAACTCAATTAAATTAAAACTAATTATAAAAAACTATTTAAATTCAGTGATAAATCGCGCGCTTTATTCTCCACAGCCTTTTGGGTGCAAAAACTTTTCCAAGCGATCGATAATAAGACACGTTATTTGCGAACAGCCCTTCAGTTTGTGTTATTGTTTATATTTGTGACAAAAATCACTGGTTTTTCGCCAAATGTTTTCATCGATTTGATCCGTTCGGTGACAGACAGCGAGTGAGTCGTCGACCACAGCGTTTGGGAAGCGATGGGCAGTCGATCTCGCGGTACGAAACCCAAGAGTATTGTCTGGAAGTACTACGAGTCCGCGGAGGACACCGACGGCAGGGATGTACTCAAGTGTCGCTTCTGTGGCACCCGTTTCACCGCTTCGGTGGCCAAGAATGCCACCAAATTGAGACACCATCTGATCCGCAAGTGTCCCGACATTGCGCAAGACGTGAAGGACTCGCTGGACGTGATGGACGACCCGGACTATGACAACACTCGAAACAAATATAAACAAGTCGTAAGTCTATCACAGATGTGTTGTCTCTCCTCATGAGTAGTAATGACCACTTATTTCCCTGTGTTTGACGACCAGAAAGCAGAAGACACGGATCCGACTGATGGCAAGAAGAAGGCACTGACGGGACATATAGTGACCAAAATAGTGGTGAAGAGCGCGAAATCGAGTGCTTATAAGAGTCGCGCCGAAGAGGACGCGGATCTGTTGGACGGAACGGATCTAATGGACAGACGAGAGCTGAAGACAAGAGTGCGTTCGCTGGAAGAGGAGAACTCACGGCTGACGACACGCCTTCGTCTGTGTCTCAAACAGAACGAAGCGCTCATTCAAGTGACCAAACATTTGGAGCAAAGCCTGAAACTGATGGACAGATTGGAGACAATCAATAAAATACATTCCATTCGCTTCGACGACAACGAGGAAGAAGTGGACGGTTTGACGGATGAGTTGAACGCCAGCAACGAATCGGCCAATCAGTGGAAACAGAAGCTGAAGACCATTGAAATGCAATTCATTGATACCGAAGAGCGCGAAGAGAAAGAAGATAATTACCAGAAGAATATAGGTTTGTGTCCATCAGATGTGTGATTGAAGTGAAGATGTAATTGATTTTAATGACAATTAACAGACCGTATGGTAAACCCGAAGTCCCAAAGGCCTCAGTCGTCGATCTGGAAGTACTACAAACTGGAGGAAAAGGACGAAAGCGATGGTTTGCGTGTAATTCACTGCATATTCTGCGACAAAACGTTTCGCCACAAGAATCTGAACGCATTCAAGAGCCGAACCCATATCGTCGAGAACTGCGACAAATGTCCGCAAGAGATCAAAGACAAGGAAAACATTTGGACAGAACCGCAGCCCAAGTCTAAAGTCGACATCTGGAGTCACTTCCATCTGAATACAGACAACGACAAGACGTGCACCGAATGTCTGTATTGCGGACATAAGTATCACTACAAGAACGCCACCAAATGTCGGCAGCATTTGGTCTTCAAATGCGAACAAATCCCGTTTGAAGTGAAAGAAACGATTCGTAATCAATGCGACCAAAGTTTCCTCAATAATACCAAATCCACGGAACCGATCAAAACAAGACTCTCCAACATATGGAACCATTACGACAACTGCAACGACAGCGAAGGTAGAAACGGACGATCAATCACTACCAATGAAACGGGCGTACATTAAGATTATAACCCGTTTTGTGTATATTTTCAGGGAAAGAGACGTATAAGTGTCAGTATTGCGGCCAATTGTATGCCACCAGAAATGCCACCAAATTTAGGCAACATTTAGTCGACCGATGCGAACGAATACCGGAAAACATACGCCAAGAGTTGACTTTAGAGACAATGGAGTCGTCGCGGACGTGGACTCAGGCAAAAGTGCCCGTTTGGTCACATTATAAGCTGTGGCAGGAATTTGGTTAGTATTGTACCGCATATTGAATGGAATTTGAAGGAAATGTTGACTAAATGTTTGTTAATTTGTTACCACTTTAGGCAAACAGATGTGTCGTTGCGTATACTGTGGCACAACTTATGGCTATAAAAACGCTACTAAATGTTTGTATTGATTAATGATTATGTTTTTTGTGTCTATAATAATAGGAATCCTTTTATATGTGAATTACAGGTCGAATACATTTGATGTTAAAATGCGATAAAATTCCGGTTGAGATGAAGTTAAAGATACGCAAAGAATCGCACGACTTGTATATGAGTGCTCTGAACGCCAAAAATGAACTCAAATTTCATAAAAGGGTATTTCAAACAATCGTTTTGTTTGATTTGAATCGTAATTAATGGCAAACAAATGATTGATTTTATAGGAAAAGACACGTAAACTGATCATAAAGTCGGCGCGAATTCCCCGAAAGCCAAAGTCACGGATTTGGGATCACTTTAAGGACGATAAGGACATTAAGGGTGATATCGTTCGGCGCTGTAATTATTGCGACCACTTATTCGGTTCGGGAACGAGTCGTAACGCCACTAAAATGCGCGACCATTTGGCGCTCTTTTGTAAGACGATTCCCGAAGAGGTGAAGGAGCGCATTGTGGACGAGAACATGAAGTTCGGCCGACCCTATCGTAATAAACCGCCGCAACCGTTGAAATGGTTGGAGTGCTGTTGGCCCGGATGTGAGATGAAGTTTCCCAAACGCTCGCGACTTCTCAATCACCAGAAGGTCCACACCGGAGACATAGTGCGGGTGCCCTGCGATTGGCCCGGATGTGAGTGGACCGGGAGGTCCAAGCATTGCGTCACTATTCATAAATACATTCACACCGGTATGCAATTTGCCCATAGATTTTACGGTACTTTGATTTTTGTTGTAGTGATTAATTTGCGGTCACTTTTACAGGTGAAAAGCCCTACCACTGCGATTGGCCCGGATGTGAGTTCAAGACCGCCAAACCCTCCAGTCTTTGCGTCCATAAGGTATGCTTTGGTCACTGTTTTTGGGCTCCGACTGAGTGTCTGATTGTTGTATTTGTAAGCCCTACCACTGCGATTGGCCCGGATGTGAGTTCAAGACCGCCAAACCCTCCAGTCTTTGCGTCCATAAGGTATGCTTTGGTCACTGTTTTTGGGCTCCGACTGAGTGTCTGATTGTTGTATTTGTTTTTGTCGTTGAAATGATTAGATGAGACACAAGAATGTGTTGCGCTATAAGTGTGATTGGCCTGAATGTGAGCGCACTTTCCTGACGTCATCGCAACGGACTGTCCATAAGATGGTTCACATGGGTATCAAACCGCACGCGTGTCAGTACTGCGACAAACGGTACCCGCAGTTGAATAAGTTAAAGACACACCAAAACAAACATCATTTCAATCAATTGCCAAACACTTCGTACGACTGACAACCGATTCAATGGTCACTCGACTCTCACTAAACAATCATTTGTCATATTATTTTGCGGACCACTCGTCCGCCACTTCCAGACAACCAGTCTTTTTAAATATGTTTCTGTATTTATATATTCACTGCAATTTTATTTATTAAATTAAATGCTCTGTTTGTATATTCTATATAGTTTTAAATTAACATTTTAAGTCTAATTAGTTTTAATTTATTAATTAACATTTTAATTATATGTATTATGTGTTCATTAAAAAAATAATTTATAAATTAATGAAATTATGAATTTAAATATAAAATTAATAAAATAAAACATTTCATACATTATATGCGATAACAAAAGTTTTTTTAAAACAATGAATGGAGTCGTCGGAATCATGTAAAGTGTTTAACAAATTGTATAACAAATTGTGACTAAAATAGTGGTGCAGTTTATGTGCCGTTAAGTTATTGTTTATAAATTAGTTAATTATTGTTTCAAAAAAATTAGAAAACTCTAAAAAAATTTAGGACACCTTTTGATGCAACATCTAGTTCTAAGTTAAATCTAAGTTCTAAGTTCTAAGTAGTAAGATTAAGCTAATCAGCGCTCTAACTGTACACATCTTTTTCAGTATACTTTAATATACCGTAGCAACTTTTCAAATGTTTCAAAAGCTTATTTTGTTTTTAAATTGAATCTCTGTTGGAGGCCCTTAAGCAAAGCCAACCTCTGTCCTGCCACCTCGAGTTCATAGTTAAGAACGAACAATTCCATTTGTATTTAAATGATTCATATTAGTTATTATAATATTACTATTTGCAAATAACCAAAACTTATTTATACAAGGCACCTCAAACTGGTGGAATAAATTCGAGGACACCTTTTCATGCTACATCTATTTTTATGTTGAGTTAATCAGCGTTTTAACTGTACACATCTTTTTCAATATACTTTAATATACCGTAGTAACTTTTCAAATGTTTCAAAAAGTTCATTGAGTTTTTAGATTGAATCTCTGTTGGAGGCCCTTAAGCAACGCCAACCTCTGTCCTGCCACCTCAAGTTCACAGTTAAGAACGAATAATTCCATTTGCATTTAAATGATTCATATTAGTTATTATAATGTTAATATTTGCAACTAACCAAAACTTATTTATACAAGGCACCTCAAAATGGTGGAATAAATTCTAGGACACCTTTTCATGCTACATGTACATCCATTTTTATGTTGATTTAATCAGCGTTCTAACTGTACACATCTTTTTCAATATACTTTAATATACGCTAGTAACTTTTTAAATGTATCAAAAAGTTCATTAAGTATTTTAATTGAATCTCTGTTGGAGGCCCTTATGCAACGCCAACCTCTGTCCTGCCACCTCTAGTTTATAGTTAAGTACGAATAATTCCATTTGCATTTAAATGATTCATATTAGTTATTATAATGTTAATATTTGCAAATAACCAAAACTTAATTATACAAGGCACCTCAAAATGATGGAATAAATTCGAGGACACCTTTTCATGCTACATCCATTTTTATGTTAAGCTAATCAGCGTTCTAACTGTACACATCTTTTTCAATATACTTTAATATACGCTAGTAACTTTTCAAATGTTTAAATGTTGTTATAAATGAGTTTTAACATTATTTTCAATTATTATGAATAGTCTTGTAGATTAAAAATCATACATCATATGTAAAATTTATCGACGGACCGACGGGCAAAATAGTAAACCCCATCTTTGCATACAGGCGTCAATTGAGTTAAATAGACTCAAGTAATCCCTTTTCCAATTGTTAGTTACGTTTCAAAATAAAGCGTGTATTTCAAGCACTTCCTAAGTATTTACAATTAAAAACCGGACATTTAGTTGACTCACAATTTGAGTAAATATTAATTAAACAAATCAATACAATTGTCAACATTTTATTCACTAGATTTAAACGCATTAATAATTAGTTATTATGAAAATACAATTTTTATCAAATCAATGATAATCCTATTGAAGGCGTGTTTTAACTCAAATAGATTTTAACCATTAATGAGAAGAATGTCTTCGGAGTCTCCTCTTTGGTTGAGTTGTTTTCATGATTATTATAGCGAGAAATCAATTGCGATATCGGGTCACAGGTTTGGCCATAACTTTCATAACTCTCGCAAACATAGTTGAGTACATCTCCCGAATAGCCGGCAATCATATTGTGTATTGTCCTCACAGTATACGAGTTACACAACCGGTCGTCACTCGACAGGTCATCGGTGGCACACTTTCGGTACGAATGATAATTACTGTCCAATAAAAAAAACAATTGTTCATTAAATAGCAATATAATTGACAATTGGGTGACAATTGTGTGCCGATTGTGTCTCTCCTTACCAGCAAATGACAGGTATTTTATCGTTTTGTGTCAACTGATGGATGCCTTGAATATTGTCGATGAAGTTGCGGAGACAAGCGATCGGCTTATTGTGGTATTTGTTGATACATTTGCCGCCATTAATCATACGCTTCTTATTCCTCCAACCCTTGGAACAGATCTTCTGGTTCTGTTGGACAACACTATTGATAAGTATTGTCACCGTTTGATGCGCTGATGGCGACAGACATTTGAGCGAATGGTTCCGAAGACAACTCTCCTCTGACTTGTAATTGCTTTTTATAATCAAGAATTTGTGGTCAAGTTTTGGATCATATTTTTAATCATAAAAAGATATCATATGAATAAATACTCGCAAAATGTTTGCATTTCTTCAGGCGTTTGAGGCATCGGTTGTCTGTCGAGTAAAACCATTTTTTGGGCACATTTTTCGACCGCTTCCTCCTCTGCATCGCATTCCGGGTTATTCTCGATGTGATTGGAGGCCAGCGCTCAACATATCATACAATTTATACATAGTTTACAATTACATTTCAATTGAATTAGTTTTAAGTTTTACTAATTAACTTATTGTTAATTTGAACGCTTATATTATAGCTTAAAATGTTAACATTTATTTTAAAAAGTGAAAATTATTGTTAGAATAAATACGGATTAATTTTATAACAATTAAATTGTTTTAAATTAATATATTTTTAAAAAGTTTGATTTTTACCAAAACCGGTGATCAAACAGATCAGAGCAGTTAATTTAATAAACATTGTCTTAAATAAAATATAACTATAAAAATTTTTAACTATAATAAAAATAACTTAAAATACAAATCATACAAAGCTATAAGTTATATGACTTTTGGCTATAACTGCAAAAGTAATGCCAGAAATAATTGTTTAGTGTTAGCGAAGGCGGAGCTCAACGATTATATCATTGATTTAATGTGTATTTCTATTTAAAGCGATTCCGCAACGAATACTACGGACAGAAAGACTTATGAAAAATAAAAATATTATTTATTAAATACAAATTGTAAATTCAAGAAACACTTTCACTTTTGCTTACATTACTTACGATTACTTTTTTCATTTACAAAACTTTTAATGATTGCCAACAGAAAAAACAAAGACATGAATCGATTATAATATGTAT